ACGTACTTTGGCGACAGTAAGAGTACTGTGAGGAACTCTAACTTCAAGCAGTTGCAGAAAAACCCGCCTTCAGAGCAGCAGGGAACCGATATTAGTGTTTCTCTAGATGAAATCACACAAGCTGTGAAAAGCTTGAAAAGTGGTAAGGCTGTTGGAATTGATGAAATTCTCCTCGAACTGCTCAAAGCAATAGGCGAACATAGCTTGTTGCAACTACCACAGGGAAGGGAAGAGCGGGGATTGTGGTACTCCTGCCCCTAGGTAGAATTCCAGTTATCGAGGCATTACTTTATTGATCCTCCAGGTAAAATTATAGGCCAAGTTGTTAGAGCAGAGGTGCCTTGAAATCGCTAACTAAGACACAAGAAGAGTAGCGTGGCTTCAGGTCAGGTCGAAGCACCTCTGACCAGTATATCACCTTACGCCAGATGATTGAAAAATCGTGAGACTTCGCTCATCCGGTTTACACTGCTCTGTGGACCTGGAAAAAGCCTATGACCCGATCCTGCGCAAAAGTCTCTTTCCGGATCGATGGCCTGTTGTTGCGTGCTGTCCACTCACTATACGCTGACAGCAGATTCTGCGTTGGAATAATTGACGTTAAGTCGAAATCTTTCGACGTTAGTACCGGTCTCCGCCAAGTCTGCGTTCTGTCCCCTCTCTTGTTTGTGTTGTACATGGATAGAATAATCAGGAGCAGCCAATGCAGCGAGTGCATCGGTGTAGGAGATGTGAAGACGAGAAGGTTGCTATTTGCAGACGACCTTATTTTATTGGCATCTTCTGAAATTGATCTACAGTGCTCCCTAGATTGGTTCGCAGACGAATGTGACGTAACCGGCATGCGCGTGAACGCATCTAAAACGAAAAGCCTAGTGCTTTCTCTTCTCTTGCTCGTTTCGTTCTTCAAACAGACCCAGAAATAGTGGAGCCCTTGGAGAAATTCAGTCACCTATGGGTCGTGTTTACCGGTGATAGGAAATGGGAGGAATAGATCATCTAGTAAGTTGGTATGACTATGGGCACTGCGTGAATTAGTCCGAACCGTTGTGGCTAAAACAGTACAGAGTCTGAAGATTAAACGGTGTGTGTTTAAGCTGATCTTCATTTGGGTGCTCACCTACGATCATGAGTCGTGAGTCATGACTGAAAAGTTCGATCTCAGGTGCAAGTAGCTGGCTGAAATGAGCTTTCTTCGACGAATCACCGGGCTTGTGGATTTCAACATGATTCGGAATACAGATTTCCTAGAAATCTTTCTTGTACAATCGCTTCTTCGCCAGACTGAGAAGTGATGTTTTGGGAACGTGTTGCGAATGCCTCCAGTAGGGAAGATGACACAGTTACTTGCCCATCCGACAGGCCGAACTCATCATACTGATGATGCATAGTAATTCTCTGGAAGTTTTGACATGTCGACTAATCAGCGATAGACTGCTGACTGTCAGACTGATGACTTCCTTTTCAATACTTTCAATTCAAGACGTTTGATTTCCCCTCATTTTTTCCAGGTTTGTCGGATGTTGTCCACTGTTCTCTTGCTTAAGGAGCCTAGATGTCCTGTAACAGTGGTCTCTCGGGTGATAGATCGTTGCCGACGTTTCGGCCTGTATCCCGCGGCCTTCTTCAACGTTAAAGTTCTCTACGTTTTCGGTTGTTTTTGAAGTCAGTACCGTTGAGACCAGTTGTTACCACTGTTACCGTTGAGACCAGTTTACTACGCAGCTTATAATTAAGCCGTTTCCGTATTCGTTTAAGTATGACCATAAACGTATGAACATACAAACGGACGTTTTGGTTCATATCTGACGGATCTTCTTTTAATAAAAATGGTGATGCTGTAACTCCTTTGCAGCAGCAGGTTCGTTTTGAACTAAGGAGCTCACTCGTACCGTAAAGACTGTCCTTATGATAATGGCGTTTTTTTTATCACGTTATAGATCAACCGTAATGCATTGTGTTGTAATAAATCGTGTCACGCTGTATGGTTGCCAGTACTCCTCCATCTGCGGTGCATTTTGCAAAACCACATCACATTGTTAAGTAGTACAACAACTCGTTCGACACTGACGAAATTGTTAGCTCTTATATGTGTATATATAAGAATGAACAGTATGCTTTATCTCTCCGGACTGATGAAGCACAGTCGCAGAACCTCCTAGAGATCTAATGAACCACTTAAGCAGGAATCAGATCCAGTGGATCCATTTTCCTTTGATATAGTAAGTTGGCATACGTTAAGGACAAGGCATTGATTTCAGTTTGATATTGTTGTGAATCTCGATTTTATGGCATGTTTATTTTCTGATTAGAAGCTTCCTGTCAATTGATTGATTTTCTAGAAGTGTGTAATGTTGCGTTACGTCTGTTTCTTATTCATGGCCTAATTGAATTTTTTTATAGAAATGGTGAAATGCTTTGGCTGGTCGTAGTAATGGCC